GGGGGGGGGACTTGCACCGAACAGCTGATTGGGCAAGCAGCGGTGGGGCGCAGCGCGGCGGCCCTGCAGCCTCGGGCCGCACAGCCCCGCCCGGCCCTGCTGCCCGGAGTTCCTTGGCTCGCCCCGCTGCACCCTGCAGGGCCCTGCTGCGCCTAGCCTCCGCGCCCCGACCCGCCCCGCCCCGGCCCAGGACCGCCCCGCTCACCTTCACGGTATTAGGTTCGCGTCACAGGATATCCAAGTCCGAGCGCCGAGCGGCTCCAACCGGGCCGACTCGGAGCCGAGCCGGATGTGACGCGATCCGCGCCGAGGTGCAAGATCGGTATGGGTGGCCCTCCGCCCGCCGCCGTTGCGTCCAAAAGCGTGCCAAAGGCGAGCCGAAGGGCCGTGACTAAGAATTAATGCACGAGGGTGGCGGGCGCATTGCTCGGCTCGGCGCGGAGCAGCGACGGCGCCACGAGCAGGACGCGGGGAGAGAGGCAGGGCGCGAGGGGAGAGCGGAGAGCACCGGGGGCAGCTGGAGTCACAACGAAGTAAGTCCGTCCGGCAGTCGGCAGGGTGGATGATGAGACGGCAGGGTAGATGATGAGAAAATATGTGGAGGTGGGGTGATTTGATTAACCTCTGAAATCCAGGCGAAATACGGGCGCATACAAACTTAAACTTGTTCCGGGCATTATCGATGTTAATTTCTCGTAACTGGGCAAACAGCATACCAGGTAACTGTGAATACGCGGCAGTGTTGCGGGTTTGCCTACTCTTTACACCCGTAAGGGGCCACATTGCGGCCATATTGAGTATGCCACCCCGCAACGCTGTTGCCTATTCACAGTTACACCCGGTACATGAGTTAAATAAACGATTACTTGAACTAAAAAAGGAAATTTCAAATGTGAGTTATACCCCATAATCTACAACTTGTTTTAGACATGCCGCTTCCAAACCATGGACACGACCAAAACAAAATGTACTGTCAAAGTCTCATGCTCTAAACAAATCCTATGCGTTTTCAATTTCTCCCAACAAATTAAAACTAAGCGCAGCCTCCGCCCGATGATGGTGCGATTCGTGCGATTCGCCTGAAAGTAGGCAACGCGCGTGATTTTCTCCTCCGAGTCCGCCGAGCCGGGGCCCGATCTGCCGTATGTGTATGGGCAGCGCGAGGACAGAGTGTGACAGTGGTCAGTGCTCGCCTGTGCTTGCCCAGGCACCTCACGTGCCGGCACTTTGGCGGGCGGGGCGGGCGCACAAGGGCAGCGCGGACAACAACACACTATGGCCGCTACTGGAGTGCGCGCACATGGCTCACCTAGAGCAACTAGTGCGCAACTGCGCAACCCCACAATAACATTTTACAAGACTCTTGCTTCGCGAAAGTGTACGTGGCACGTTCAATAAAAGTGAAAAAAAGAGAGACACTACTAAATACCGCAGAAAAAATAAGAATTATTAGGTAAATGTTTCCAGGTGATTATTTTTTGGGGAAAAGGGTACTTTTAGAAAGAGTGGAGAAGTTTTTAATTGGACGCGGTGGTCGGCGTTCGCGTCTTGTCTTGATTGCGAGCGCAAGGGATCCCTTCATTAAAATCACCACTTTTCGTGGATTGTTGCGCGACACGGGGGGGCCTTGCTCCTGAGCGGAGCAGCGGGGGAAAGGGGGGGAGGGGCTACGGCAGCCTACGGGCGCCACGATGTCAACTCATCATCTGTTTTCTGCGAAAAGGCGAGAGGGAAAGGAAAGGGGTCAATTACATCATGCAAATTACGCGGGCGCGGGTGCAAAGGCGCGCGGCGGGCTGAACAAAAGACGAGCAGCGGCGTGGCGCGGCGTAGGGCAGCCTGTGAGAACGCCGCAGTCATAACCCACCTGAAAGTGAGACACCTCGGAGGGCCGTATTGCGAAAGGCCGCCGGTATGTTATCGCGGCCGCGTCTCTATCGTCCTGGCCCAGCAGCGGAGAGGGCGGGGCGGGCGGACGCGCGCCTCGAAACGACATCGATACCGTGTCGCATATTGGCTGGAAATGTGTAGCAAGTCGGACAGGCGGCGCCCCGTTCACCAGTTCACCGCGAAAGGGAACGCCGACGAAGCAACTGATTCGTCCGACTGGTCCAGCCAGGAGGAGGGTTGGAACACCTGTCACTCTGCGCGTCGCGTTCTCATGACCTCGCCCGGCAACGCACCTGTCTCTCCCTTCCCTCGTCCCCGCGGGCCGCGGTGCGGCGCTGCTGTCGCACCCCTAAGGCCCCGGCCGCTGCCCCCGGCCCGGCACGGTGACGGCTTGTCTTGATTCGACTTCGACTAGACTTCGCCTCTTACGGTGGTAGCACCACACCACCAGCTGCACCTACACTGTGGGAGAGGTTTGGTTCCTCCAACCCGACATGCACCACATTTATCCATTTTGCGGAATGTTTGTGATAACTGTCATTTCCCACGAGTAGAGAAATGCCATACGCAAATCCCTACCGTTTTAGTTGGTGGTTGTGAAAATCATTTTCACCTCAACTAACCTCACTTCCCACTCGCACCTGGAGGCGGATAAAATAAAAACAACAAAAAATATTTGTTGGGTAGCACCTTCGTGTTCCTCCGTTGCGTGGGGCCCCGTAGAGGGACTTTTAGGGAAATCGTCGAGCCAGCCAGCGCCAGCGATGTGCCGGCGTACAGCATGTAGGACAAGCGGTGTACTCACTCGCTGACCCCCTCCGGCGCTACGCCACGCCACGCCCCACGGCGGGCACGCACGCACCGATGTGTGTGTTAGTTGTATACTGTCGCTGTAAAGTTCAGAAACCGACAGCGAAAATTCCAGTGTTTGGTGCAGCAGCACACCATCGAAAAACAACACACCTCACCTCCATACGCATTGTTTCCGTTGCATCCCGTGCGTGTTTCGAGGTTATGCTCGGCACCGTCGTGTTGTTACTCACTCGAGACGGCGAGTCGCTTCTCCGCCGCGCGGCTGCCTGGCCTGATGGACCTGTCCCGGCTGGACCAGATTCGCTCAGCTCGACTTCCTGATTAGTTTTCTTTACTGCCTCAAATCTCATCTCATTTCATTTCGCAGGGTGCGGTTTGCAGAGGCTATGGTGTTTCGGCGACGGCGGCGGCGGCTGCTGGCTTCTGCTGAGCAGCTGAGGAGGCTGCAGACCGCCGCCGCCAACCACTCTGGGCGCTGCGCTCGCCGGCCGGCCGGCCGAACTACTTTGCACCTCTCACCATTAAACAACCTTTATAACAGGCTGCTTAATCAAATTCCACGGCGCCTCGCTGATAGATTAGGGCTATCCAGTCCTTTGCGTAGGCAGAGGTAGGTTTTGTAGATCGCGGCCCGCTGCTACTCCCCGCCACGCCACCGCCACGCCCACCGCCATACATCTCTCGCGACCCGTTATGAACGAACGCCCCCCCTCCGCCTCCTCCCCTCCCCCACGCCCCCTCCAGCAGCCAGCGGGCACCGGCGCGGCGGGCGCGGCCAGGACACGCCACTCCACGACGGCGTTCACGTCGAGGTGTCATCTCCAATCAGGCGCCGGCCATAGCGGTCACCGCGCACTCCGGGGTGGCCGCCTGCGCCCCGCCCGCGCCCCGCCCGCGCCCCCATCGAGCAAGCCTTTGACGGCGTGAGTGGCAGGACATTGTGAAGAACTAGCTGCTCCACCATAAGAGGGAGTGGCAAAATAATTATTAAAGTTTAGACGAACACGATAATGGAGGATAAAACTATTAAATTGACTATATAACTAAGGCACAAAAACTGTATCGCCCGAAAAAGGGCAAGGAGACATTTTCAGCAGAGAATTAAATTGTTCCCATCCCAGGTCTATGATATATGCGAGGGGGCAATAACTCCCTTTTGAAGTGTACAAATGATTCCCGAAATTGTTGATTCCCGGTGATTCCCGTCCGCTTATAATTATTACGTAGGTTTTTCGGGGGGTTTTACTGGTATAAAACGCTTATTTCGACTGATTTATTATACTCATTTCTCTAGTTTCCCGCTTATTCTAAGCGATTTCTATTGATTTTGATCAATTTTTATCCTGATGATTCCCAGACAGGTGTACACATGATTCCCGGAGTTATTGCCCCCTCGGATATATGTCTATAACGTTCACTAGTATCCCTTACAAAGTGCGCAATACAATCCCAGTGTAAGGTTACAGCATGCGTAAAACGTTCGTGGCAACTCATAATTCGGTGACAGTTGTATAAACTATTTTTTAAGAACAATCGCACACTTACATTCTTAGTAATACGTCTTGAGTGGGGGAGTAAGACTGCGCGATGAGTTAATTTCCAGTGACGTTCTGGTCCAGCTGCACCTGCACCGCACGCGGCGGGCGAGATGGGCTCGCTCTCGTACTTTCCCTCTCCCTTTCTCGCTGGCTGGACCTCCGCCGTGGCCCCCGCCGCCGCCTCATGGCAGAGCATGGCAGGGCAGGGCAGAGCGGCAGCAGAGCTGGCACAGCAGGTGTTGGTTGCTGGAGGCGGCTAGGCCGAGCCTCGGCTGCAGAAAGCATGACAATCTCGCATGCCTCAGCTCTGGGCTGGGCTGGGCGGGTGCCTGGCAGCGCCCATGGCGTGGCGTGGCGTGGCGTGGCGTGCCCATGGCGCTGACACGGGCTGGGCGGGCCTACGGGCGGGACGCGCCACCGCCAGCTGCACGCCACGGGCTCACAGTAGCGTGACATCCCCGTTACATCACAATTAAGCACTTTGTCACATCCCCTTTTCCCTCGTTGGCTATCCCTACAAGGATGTCCTTACCCTGCCAAGAAAAAAAATTGTAGTTTTGAAAGATGTTTGGAAATTTTAAACTTTGATCTTATGAGCGAGGGGAGCGCCCTGACTGCGATCGCGAGCAGAGACCCGCACACGAAGGAAATGGTATACTTGATTCGAGGAAATTCCATCGACAAATTGATTCGCTCATATCAAATGAAATTTGAATGGAAATTGCATAATAATTCACAGAGATTTTCCTTGAAAATTTGATTTTCACGTGATAGAATCAGTTTTTGAATGGAATTTCCTCGTGTACGAAAGACGATTTTAGTGAAGAGCTGTCAAACAGTACGAAAAGGAATCGTAGTTCGCAGTGGAAGCCGTCCTTTTCTCCCGGGAGCAGTAGCCGCGCAGCCGCAGTGTAGATCCCCACCCACCAGGGCCCGGCCCGACACGCGCGGAGGCAGTTAAATATCGCTCCATTGTTTTATCAATCAGTGTGACGTCATTGGCGGACGCCCCCCGAGTAGAGAGGCAGGAGGGCCGCGGCGAGGCCCTCATCTTGTGCTAACGGTGTCCTGCACTGCGCGGCGCGGCGGCGGGGCCGGGCGGAGTGGGGCGCGGAACTCGCTCCGGGTGCTCCGACCGTTCCTTGCCGCGCCCGTCTCTCCTCTCCTCGCTGCGCTGGGCCCCTCCACGCACCGCCCCGCCACGCCACGCGGCGCTCGGTGGACCGGCCGGCCGGCCGGCCCGCTCATGGCTGCGGCCAGCCCCGCGGGGTCTTCGGCAGGAGGTTGGGGCGCGTGTCGGGTCCCCCGGGCGTCATCGCGATACAGTGAAAATAAAAGCAACAGCAAGAAAAACTACTGAAACACCTCGGAGACCAAAACCGGAGAGCCACAAAGTGCGATAAATCAAATTAACATTTCTTCCACTTTTCCTTGGCATTACCATTACCTATCTTTATACCCATTTTTGGGTAAGATTATTCACGGGTTTCGGTTTGTCGACACCGATGTATGGGTTCCTCCCTGGCTTTTAGAATCGGTACCACCTCCCCATCTCACGCACCAACATAAACAAGTGATCTACGCCAAGCCACGCCCCCTTTTCCCATCCTTCTCCGGGGCATTCTTTTACTGCCCCTACCTCACTTTCTTTCCTCTTTTTTGGTCGTTCTCGCTCGAAAATGAAGCTGCTTATCCTGCTAACGCCCCGCTGGCCCCTTTATGGCATCCATCCCGCGCGTTGGCCTAGCCGTATAGACGTGTCGTGGACGTCAATGCAATGACCTACCTCGAGGTGGGCCTCCCGGGACAGCCGTGGCCGGCACCAGGAGGGGGCCTGCCAGCCCTTTCAACGGGGCACGTCTAGGCCATCAACGCCAACACCCGGGGGCCGGAGAGGCCCCGGGGAGAGGGAGACTGGAAACACGCACGACCAGGGAAAACAACTGTACGGAGGGATCACAACAACAGCAGCAGCAGCAGACTTTGCTTTAAACTAGTTGTTGATCCACTGAAGGGCATCGCAATCACGTCTTGCGGCCCTTCATGGTCTCGCAAGATCAGTGTCAACATAAAAACCGAAAGATACGATTACGCCGTTTCTCTTTCTTTTTTTGCCCTTGAATAAAAAGTGTTCCTTCCCAAGGGTGCGTGCGTTTCTAAACTTTTGCAGTGACTGCTGTTGCTTCTTGACCCTGTGGAGGCCCTGGCCGCGGTCCCGCCGGCTAATCTTTCCCTCCCCATCTCGCCGGCCGCGCTGCTCCGGCCAACAGCCTCCCTCCTCTCTTCTCTCCCTCGGGGCGTCGCGACGACGAGACTGCAGCCCGGCGCGGTCCAGCCCGGCGCAGCCCCACCTGCTGACCCACTCACGCCCGCCATCGCAGGGCGGGAGGGGGGGGGGGGCAGATTGGCATTACGGCCAATGAGCAATGGCGATGATCAGCCCTCCCCCGCCCCTCACCTCCCCGCCCCGCCGCGCCAGGCCCGGCTGCTGTTGCTGCTGCTGAACCGTTCAGTTCAAGCAGGAGGGGGGCAAGAAGAAAGAAAGGAAGTAATAATAAACTACGAAGCAGGCGCTACCAGCTCTCATATGGCGGCGATTGAACCCTAAGGCGCGGGATATATAATTTTTTTTGTTCCGTCCAAATTTAGAGTCCCCCTTACGACGTTTTAAGTAGATTGGGGGGGGGGGGGGGGCATGTGCTGGCCAGACTGCACTGCCGCCAGCTCGGGCCGGCTCTCATGATACACTGTCGCGTGAAAACGACAAAACGACTTCCCTCCTTTTTACTGTTTCGTAATCTTAAGCTCCGATAAAAGCAGCCATAGCGATCAAAAGGGACCCGTCTAAACTGCCCCACGCCGCACTTTAGGCTCCTGACGCTTTTGTGGTTCCTGAACGTTCGCCTTTCGTTTTCGACAGGGTGCTCTGATCAGGACGGAGCAGCGTATATACAGACGGCGGCGGCTCCGAGCAAGCCGAGCCGAGTCCGGCGGGCGGGGCCTGCTCGACACGCCGAGCAGCGCGGTATGACAAACTTATCAGCCATCGGTGTATTGAGAGGCCAAGGAGAGGCAATAACTAAACGCAGCTGAACTCAACTCGAGTCTCGGAGCGGAGAAAGGCGTGAGTGTGGTGAGCGCTCGTTGGTTCCGTGCGTGTGTATGTGCGTGTGCGTGTGTGTACTGGAAGCGAGCGCTATATAGTGGGTGACATTGAGATTTAAATGATGGGCACAACGACGACGACAACGATTCTCTTTGGGTGGTAAAAGTGACCAAACAGGTCTTAAGGCGCTGGCTGATCCCCTTAAATAAGGGAAAGGGGAAGAAAGACGGAGCGCCCCAAGCAATAGCAATGTCGCACAGACACTCGCACCCAAAACACTCCAGAATAACATCCATAGGTCGGAATAGTGAGAAAAAAACCACTGTAGGTTTGACACAAATAGCAAGATTACCTATCTTTCTTTTCTGACCGATGACATCTTAAAACACTAACATTAAAATTCAAATGCAAGTGGTGCACCTAGCGGAATCAGAACTTAGTCCTCAACCGGGAAGAGGTGGCTGTCTGCTTGTGCTTCCTATCCCGTGCTTGGATGGCATATTTCTTCCGATAAATCATGTTTAATAACATGCCGAAGACAGCATAAGGATGGCGGCAACGGCGAAAACAGTTGGCAATGACTCAAATACTAATAAAACTCAAGAAGGGAGGATTAATTTCAGGTTGTTGTTGCTGCTGTCAGGTCAGCACCTCCTGTGGAGCGCCGCTGCCGGAGCGCCCCGCGCCCGTCCTCCTCTTGGCAAAAAGCTCGCCGTAACCCACTTGCCGAGTAATTAGAGCTCGTAATCAAGCTGACCCCAGCCGAAGCACGATCAAGAGCAACCTTTTTGCGGTCTCTCCTCCCTCCCCCCTCCTTCGTCTCATCTGCACCTTCTGCTCATCGCCCCTCGCCCCCCCCCCTTCCCCTTTTGCCAGCTCCTTAAAAGTGTTGTCTATCTAATTCGCGGACCGTTAACGCCAAAGTAATCAGCTGACGCCCAGCAAGGCGACGTTCTCTCTGCCAACAGATGTCTCCCTGCCAGCAGGAAGGCGGTGCGATGAGGGGAGAGGGGAGGGGGGGGGGAGAGGGGGCGTCCAGGCGCAGGCGGTTCTTTTTACCGTCAGTCACCGTTTAGTTCATTAATCAAGATGACCTCCGCTTCACCCAACGTTTCCATATAGCCAAGTGCGCGACCTGTGATCAAACTTCCCGCGAATTAAACTTAAACGGTTTGTCCGAATGCAATATGCTTCATTGCTTTGATTTACATAGCCTCTAGAAAACGGATACGGGCCGATCGGCCTCGAGTAGCCGATCGGCACTGCCTTGGGCAGTACTGCTTGACTGTCGTGGCAGTGCTGTACCGCACGCCACGGGTGTCTGTAGGATGCCTACCCGCACGGCGCACGGGAGCTTATCAGTCACCTGACCGCATCAAAGACACTGACAAAACCAAACCTGGACGACAAAGTAGAGAGCAGCTTGGCTAGCCGTCGCGTTTTATGCAGTAGCCCCCGTGCATGTTATGTTTCATGCATTAAACTTGAGTGTGTCATGGGCACGGCTACCTTGACTGAGTCCCGCGCCAGGGCGCGCCAGGGCTGTCCCCGCCGCGGACGCGCCGCGGCCGCCGGGCGGACTGGCGAAACGGTTAACGAACTCGCGGCCGGTTAGAAGCTGCGCCTCTTTGCAAAACTAGTTCGGGCGCGCAGAGCTTGGCGGGGCGCGGCGAGGCGGGGCGGGAAACCGCAATGATGTCCCTGGACTGACTGACTGACTGACCGGTGGACTTCACCCTTCTCAAACGACAAACTCGCTTCTCTCCCATAGCCCCTCCTGTCTCTGTCTCTCTCGCTCTGTCTCCCTCGCAAACTCTCACTCACTCTCTATAGCTCTCCCGCCCCGTAATGAACACTTGTCTCTCCCTCAATACCCCCTGTAAGGAGCGAGGCCGGGATGAGAAATGTCGACTCACGACACTGCTCTCTTTCGCGTTGCACGCCGCGTCAGCCCGCGCCATGCCGACGCAGTGCAATGCCTGTTGGGGACACAGACCACCAAAGACGGGAAAGGAGAGGGCAGGAAGCCAAAGGTCAGCCCGTGCATGGCAGCGGGGATCATAGATCTTCACTGCAAAACAAATACACACCCGATAAAATGCAAATACTGTAGTGCAGAGTAAGCGAGCAGTCATAACGGCCCCTTTCTTCTAAAGTCAATTATAAACTGTGCCTTCTTTAACTCGGACTGACTTTAAAATTTCCATTCTTAACCGGTATTTTAACCGGCGACTGGGTAAAAGTCTATCAAACACCTTTGACGTGTCAGCATGATGTCACGACAGACCGATCGGCAGGCACGCGGGCTCACTTTACATGTCACACAGGTACTCGGCACACCTTCAATGCGATAGAGTGCACCTTTCACTTTTCGTCCTCACCTTTCACCTGTGTGACCCACCCACCACCACCAACGCGGCAGAGGGCTTAACGGCTTAACTGCCTGAGGGGGAGGAGGAGGGAATAGCAAGGCGCCGCCGCCACCAGCGCCGTGGAGCTGGAGGAGACGTCTGAAGCCGGGCTGCTGGCTGGAGCGGGGGGCTGCAGCGGGCCGAGCAGCAAGGAGCGGAGCGGGGGAGGATGGGTCATGCATCCGGATGGGCACAATCCATTAGAAAGTCGCGAGCTCTCGGTAATGCGCCTCCACACGTGTGCGCGTGCTCGCGCGCTGCTCCCCGCGGCGACACCCCCAGCTCTTCTTATCAATGGCGTAAGGCAGACGCAATAATCAGACGTGCTCCGCCGCCCCGCCCGGGGATTAGTTAGTTTTACAGCGGTCCGGTGGAGGAGGCGAGGTGCGGGGGCGGCCGCTCGCGCGCCTTGGAGATGCGTAGCGTAACTAATTCGGTAAGAAAACACGAGCCCCTGACGATGACTCCCGCGCGGGCTTCTCCAGCAGAGCAAAAATTCTGAATGAAACAACCGATTGAGAAAGATTCGTTCGAGTCAAAAAGAAGTCTCACCAATGATATTAATAGTGACTTCGGGTGCATCATCACCTCCTAGATGATGAGACTACCACGGAGTTTGCCCAGAAGGGAGTGGGGGGGGGGGGTGAACAGCTGTTTCGTATACCAACTATAGCCTCGCGCTGGGGCGCCTCCACCGCCGTCCACCGGGGGGCCTCTGTGTGCGCGGGCAACAGGCTTGCCCTTCAACCCCCAGCCCCGGTCACACCTCGCCCCCTCCCCCCTCCCCACCATCTACCGTCCCGAATGACAAACCAGTTAGCCGTGCAGAAGCCCTGCGGGTGCGCCGAGCGCCGAGGCCCGGCAGAGTCCTTGCAGGGCCTACAGTAACCCCTTCCCGCTGTGCACCTCCCGGCCATATTCTTTAATCTCTTTCTTTCTCTTTCATTCTCTCCACCTCTCCCTCTCTCTCCTCTCTCCTTCCCCTCTTTTTCGCTCACAGCCTTCCGTCAATCTCGGACCAAGTCTTTCTCTTTGTACTTTATAATCCCCTGTATAATGATAGGCTTCCCATCTTCTTCAGCGGGGTGCTGATTTCCTCCGAAATTGTGAGCACAGCAGACTGCCCCAAGACCCAAGACATAAGTCGTAGCTTTCTTATTTCAAAAACCTAAAATACACCCTTCTTTCGGTCCATGCCACTGGCAATCCAGCCTCTGAAAAATGCTTCCGCGACTAGTTTGACTCGTTTTCTCCCCCGCGCACACTACTCGCGAACGCACTCATGCACGCGAGAGCAAGCGCACCCGAACGCACAGGCGCACGATCACACTCATATAGACACGTCTCTCTTTCTCTCTCCCACTCACACACACTCGCACACTCTCACACACTTACCGTTTCCGTCTTCAAACGTCGCCGATGTGCGAGCGCGAAGCGTTCGCAAATCCCAAATCGTCTACAGATTGCAGGCGCGCGTTATCCATATCCAGAGCAGCCGGCGGGTCTCTTGTCGCTTCGCACTGACAGGGGTTGCCCTCACTCACTCACACACACTCACTCACACACACAACAAACAGACGACTCGCCAAACGTTCCAGCTGGAGTGAACGCTTGGGGCCGGAGGGGGCTCGCGCGCGGCGCGGCGCGGCGTGGATCGAGGAGGTAAAGGACCTCGCGGGCCTGGCGGCGGCTGCTGCTGCTGCCAGCCTCGCAGCCCAGACTGCCAGGCCAGGGCGCGCCGCGCCGCGCCGCCGGCCTGGGCTAGAAGGGGGGAGGGCGAGGGGCAGCGGGGGGCGGCGGGGGGCGGGGGGGCCCCCGGCCGGACCAGGACGCCAGGGGGGCGGGGGGCGGTGAAGGGGCTTAAGGCTTGGAGTAGCCGGCTCAAGCAAGGCCCGCTCGCTCGCTGCCCGTGTATGTCCCTTTCCCCTACCCCTTCCCCCACGCCGCCACCGCCGCGGCGGCCGCCGCCACTGTGACGGCGGGCCGGCGGGCCGTGCGGCAGGCGGAGGCAGCCCCGAGAGGTCCTTGTGATCTCGCTGCTTCGCATCGCGGTTATCGTGGTATGCCAGCCGGGCCGGCCGCTGCAGCGCCGCTCTCCTGCTCCAGCTCCAGCCGCACAAACCCGTCCAGTGCTGGGGCAGCTGCGGCCCCCGCTGAGGGTGGCTGCCCCTATCAAACGAGGCGAGATCAAGTTTATCTAAATACTTTTAACAGAAAACCAATTGTTGCGACACGAGTGTAGCGCACAAGTTCTATGCCTTCGCAGGTAAAGTTAACTGTCTGAATATGAATATTTTTACAATTTTAAGAAACAACTACTGAAGGTAATTGGTAGGAAAATACAAAAGGCTCAAACTCAAAGACTTTCGCACAACTTGGTGCTGATTTAGCCTTGCTAACCTGGTCCTTTACTTTCGCAGGACCGCAGCTCAATCCTGGCCCGTCTCACTTGCGTTACACTTTCGTTGCACTGCGCAGGAGGCCAGACGAGACGGTAACGGTCAATCCAAAGCCACGTCCCTCTTGGGCCGTTTTCCGCCGTCAGCGACAGGCGCGGATGAAAGAGCGCCCGGTCAGAGCGGTGATGTTTCAAATACCGGCGTAGTTCATGGTTGCAGTGAATGTACTTTCGCCGAGGCGTAGTGGTGGACGTACGGGGCGTAGCACAGCCACACTCGCTCCGCTGCTCCGCGCATCTTTGGCAGGCCCCCAGGCTTCCGCGACGAATGGGTGGCCTACCTTTCGGCGTACTCCGAGTCGTTGCCGCTGGGCCGCGCTGCTGGGCTGTGAAGGAGATGGGTGGGGTTAGGTCGGGGAGCGGCGAGCGGCTCGGTTCGGACGGCTGATGTTTTTGTTCTTTTACTTCCGCTCTAGTCGAGGGATCCGAAGGGAAGTAGGCGGAGGACCCGTTCATTGTTTTGATTTCGAAATTCTAGCTTAAAATTTTTATGATGACGTCTAAATTGATTAATCTTTTGTCAAATAAGTTGAGCAATGATTCTGATAACATCGCTAAGTAAGTACAGCTGATAACAATATTTTTTTTTACCGTTCTTTTAATCAACCTGCAGGTTATGGAGAAACTATTTTGAAACATTTACATTCACATTATGTTTCCTGTAGGATACAATATGAGTTCTTGGGTCTTTGTGTGAAAGCTTCTAGTGCAGCAAAGTGTCAGAATTACTTTGATATGGACGCACTAAAGAGTGGAGTGGGCGTAACAAGAAAAATATGCATTCCTCCTGAGATGAAGGTTTGCGTTAATGAAGGATTAAATATATGGAATGAGATATGCAAGGGATGCAAAGGAAATCACATGTGGTTTATTGCTGGTAAGTAAAAGAAAAGAATACATTATTTATATGATAATATTGATGCTATCGTTACTGTTTAACCTAACCTCTTCTTACTAAACTACTATATTCCGGAATTTCCAGGTGGTTATGCGTCGTTTCTATCAGGATATACTAACAGATATTCTGATGTTGATGTGTACATTAACTGTACCAAAAACTTGGCAAAGGGACCAGACAATCCGAATACTGAAGTGCCAGATCACATTCAGATTGAAAAATATGCTAGGAATGTGGTCAACATGCACTTTCTAAACACTGAAAAAATCCCAACCACAACTGTACAATTTGTTCAAGTAAGGTGTCCTGAACTAAATAATATCACCTTGGTCATACATTATAAGAAACTGTTCTAATATAGTATCTTGTAAAATTCCTTGCAGGTAGATTTTTCACTGAATGGCCCCAAAAGTTCACCAGTGAAATTCCTTGATACAATGATGGCATATGTACTGTCTTCTACATTCGACATGCCCATATGCCGAGTTGCCATTCGAATTTCGCTAGCAGAAGCTGATGATGCTTACATCATAGATTACAGAGCAATAGAAGGTTACAACAAGCATCCAACTGAATCAAGAATCTTAAAATATCGTGAAAGACAAGTTGGTGGTCAAAGCTTTTGTGTTCCATCACTCAAATCACTATGTGTTAGATCATTTTTTAAGTATAGTTAATGCTTTCATAGCACATTCAATGTCAAAAACATAATAAAATCTTAAAAAACACAACAGGCTACGAAATTTTCTCAGTAAATTTGCCCCAACAAAGAGAGCGGCGTGAGTTAAATTCCTACATCGCTCACGATCAGAATCATAGCTTCCTCCGTAGAGAACGTTGAAGAACCTCTTTGCCCTTCGCACGCGCAGTTCCCCCGCAGCTGTTTGAAATGTTCGGTGGCCACGTGACTGCAGACGACACCGTCATTTGTTTCACGCATAGTTCTTCATTCTAGCGTTAGGTGGCGCCACTATTGGCGCGAAACCGTACCTGTTGTTGTGTGTCTTTTTAAACCCTGTCCCTGTCGCATTGTTCTTGCCGTCGTTTTATTTTGCAATTGAGACGAAAAATATTCAATAAGAATGGCGTCTTTTGATTCTAAGTTAGTTAACTTAATGGCAAATAAGTTAGGAATCGATAATGATAATGTCATTAAGTGAGTACAACATTTTCTGTTCTGTTTGTCGATTCGTAGGTTATGAAGGAAATATTTGTTTCCCTAGCAGCTTTTTATGTAACTGTAATCATCATCTCTTCATTACAGAAGAGCAAGCGAATTTTTACGCCTTCTTCAGCTTCGTGTCAATGGATCTAGCGGGGTAAAGCTCATTAATGATACTGGTCGAGTGGTCATATGCCTTGATGTATCAGCTAAAATGCTTGGCCACCCTTTCAATAAGGTAATTTTTATTCTCCACTATCTAGAAACTACCTTCTGTCAACCAAATGTAGGCTGCAGATAATGACATTTCTATTTTCTTTCTGCCAGGCCAACTTACTGCGTCTTGCTGGTCTGAATAAAAAACAATATGCCAGCAGCGTAAATCTTATAGAAAACCTGTTGGATTTGGCGAAACCTATTGATGTTAATACACTCTGTGTTCAACTTGGTGTTAGCGAGGTAGCTTCTACGGCCCAGAAGATGCTTAACAGGTAAATTATCAGGCATGAATTGTATTTATATTTTTTGGAGTTATAGTTGACGTTTGTTTACATTTTACCTTTTAATCTGTATCAGATATGCTGAAATTCAATCTCAAGGACCGAATGGTGGGAGAACTGTTGACCTAAATTTGCCAGTTTACCACTGTGTTTCAGTTTTGATGGCTTGCAAGTAAGCTACCTAGCTCCTAATGTGTGCTTATTGGTTTTTGAAATTAGTTTGCTTTAATTTAATTATACTTTCAACATAATCTTTAGGTACAACAAAGTTAAGGTAGATAGACCAAAGCTAGTTGAAGCGTCACGAGTCAAGAAAGTCCAATTTGACAAATTGGTGGAGGACTTCTCACCAGTGCTTGAAAGTTTAGGAACCAGAGAAAACAAAAAGACTGCAACCAAAAGATCTCACAAACTCATTGATCTAGTTTCTAAAATTGATGAAGGTTAGTAGCTGTTTGTACCACAAAGTTAATACCTAATGCTTAACTTCTAATCATTTAAATTTTTACTTTGTTCTAGACTTAGAATGCAATGTGTCAGAGCTTCCTGAAAAAGTTAAAGACACAAGCGACCCGGACAATGAAGATTTTGAAACATGGAAGAAAAGAATATTGTTTGAAGCAGGAGACGATGAATAGTTCATAAAATTTCTTTAATTTGGTTTGTAAATGTATTATCTATTTATTTTTGGGTTGTTCTTTTTGTGCATGGGATCTTTAGTTCTTTTATTTATATCATTTCTTTTGTATCTGTCCTCTTTGAATATCTATCTATAGACAAGACTGTTTAAACAAGTTTCTGTATTACTATTTTACTACTATTATAGATTAAAGTAGTCAAAACAAAATATTGGGTTTTGCAGTGACTATCTATTTTTTGTTTAATGTGTAGGATTTCTTTTCTTTTTGTAGCGGAACGACCTAGCAAGGATGATAGGAGTTTTAAGAAAACTGTCTTACAACCCGGGTCTTGGCCCTATTTATTACGTTAGCTGATCAGCTTACTCTGGGATGCTGGGATGCCAAGGTGGGTGGTATGTATTAGGGAAGCACTGTAATTTCATTTGTTGAGACTGTCACAAACAATGAGACAGAGCTTGAGTTACTCTCTGATTCCAGCTGTGGAAAGGATAAATAATTACAGTCTGTAATAGCAAACGGCCCTAAATGAACATTTTGTTTTGATTTGTGTTCACTGATAAACCAAGTATTGAACTTGCGGTTGCACACTTACAAGTGTTGAGCGGTTGAACACTTGGTTTATCAGTGTTCTGTGAGCCACATTATTAATCAAGAGTGACATAGAACTCAAAATTAATTTTGTGCCAAAGAATCAATTTGTGCTTTAACCTCAATGATCACCCTTTTTGTTGGGATCATGCAGAAAGTACTTCCGCCATATGCCGTTAGAAAACTCCCAGGTTCCACCATTGCAAGAAGCAGGCTCTGAAAGCGCCTGATAGGTAGGCAACACCCTGCCTGCGCTGCGTGCGAGTACAGCGGGGTGGCCTACCCCAACTCTCGCAGGCGCCGAGCAGCCGTAATTTGGCGAATGACGCTGAGAAAAACGGACGTAGTTTCTCGACGATCCCTTTCGAGGCCGCGTACTGTTGTCAGAGCAGTGTTAAACTCTTTTCAGCGTCAGCTTCGCCCGATTTAAATAGCGCGGGTGAGGGCGGGTGAGGGTGAACGCGGACCTTTGTGGGTGGCATATTTGCCATATCTCCAAAACTAATGACCATAAACCATGGGGGAAAAATAACCCGATTTTCGGATCCCCCGTTCATTGTTGAACCCTTGAATTTCCGAGGCACTCGGTCGTGGCTGCCGTCTCCCCTCCTTCCCCAACGCCTCCTGCAGGCCGGCTCTACCCCGCGCCCGTGCCGTGCCGCGGCGCCGCCCCGCCCCGCCGTTCAGTGCGCCTCCTGCAGCCTGCAGGTCCTGCGGTGGAATGGCATGGGGCATGGAATGGGGTCGCTCTGCCCGGCTCTGTCCGGCTCCCGGGAGCGGGTGGCGCGGGGCGCGGCAGACGGCCCCGTGCGAGCAGGCAATCACCCTCACCCTTGGCGGTCAAGTGCAACTTTGATTATTGGCAACTCGGTTGTGTACGCAAAAAACATAGGGTTTTTGGCGTGGGGTATACATTTTCCAAGACAAGTCTTGGGAATGTAAAGGTGATCTACCATCAGCCCTACACTGGCTGTAAAGAGAGGATCTCATCCCCCCATCCTAAAAAATTAGACATACAGGGACGAACGCCACACAGTAAAGCCTTACGAAACAAAATGCCAAATCCTTCGTACCTACGAAGTTTCCAAATCCTTCCGTACCTACGAAGGATTTGGCATTTTTCTTCGTATGGTTTTAACAGTGCAAGTTTGATTTGCTCTCATGGAATCACTATCTCACCCAACAAAACTGTCCTGACCAGGCAGGCTGAACCTGAATCAAGAGCACAGTCAGCCAGACTTTGAACGCGCATTCCGCCGTCTGGGTCGCGAATTCGACGGGATTAGGGGCGAGGTGCGCTCAATCGTACTTAGGCTCGATGGTGCTCCCCTTTAACGGGATCACAACACGGGTGGGGGGGATCATCCCGCCGCACCGGGTACCTCCGGGTACCCTCCTCCTCCACCTCCTCGCCGGCCACGGCCAGGCCGCGCTGGAGGCAAGGGCGGGGCGGGGCGGATCCCAGGCCAGGCCGTGTACCGCTACGCAGCTTTGCGGGGCAGGCACCGCTGCACGCCCGGGCCGGGCCCGCGCCGCCGGTACCCGCCCGGTACCCGGTGGGGGGCGCTAGGTTCGCAGGTCCGCCGGCAGGCCGCCGCCAGGGAGGGAGGCGTGCGTCTCGCTCACTGTCAGTTGGGTTGAGTCGAGCCGAGTTCAGTCCACTCCACCGTCCCGCGTTCCGCAGCAGCCGCCGTGTCGGCGTCGCCGACCCTAACCTCGGCGAGAGGACCCCCGCGTGCAGCCACGGCAGCGCGGTGCGCGTGGCCGCGTGTGTGCGTGTTAGTGTGTTCGCCCCCGCGTGTGTGGGTCAGTGGACGTGTGGCACTGTCAGGACCAGTGGAGCCAACCCCCGCCTCCTGGGGGCAAACATTTAAAGGTAAGCTCAGCAAATTTTTTTCTGAGGGCCTTTCATGCGGTGATGCACCTTTGGTCCTTTTGGTGGGCTTTGTGCAAGCGCAGCATACCATAGGCGTGTCCGTAACTTTTCTTAATTGATTTACATCGATTAGTGGACTTGTATTGTGTATGCCTGATTGTCACTTCAGCTAGGAAGACTGATACTAACGTTACAACAATCACTAGTGGTGTGTTTCGGGTGTGTCAATATAAGGTTGCCAACTTGTATGTTTTGTTTGCTTGAACGTTTTAGTTGTTACTCTTTTACGGTTGTCAATGCAACACTCTTCATTGTGTGACACTGTCTAGTTTGGTATTGTGCAACTGATTACTATGCGCACGGATTTTGTGTTTGAGTTTTGCCACACGCTTTCGGCGGTAGAGGCCGCGCGTTTGTTTTGTTTCTGTGGGAATAAATGCGGAGCAGCGGTTTGTGGGTCAGTTCGGTTTGCCGAATGTAGTATTTGATGCAAATTTCGCCTAAGGGAACGCGTGAGCTTTTACGAGCGTTAAGGCCTTCGCTCTGGCAGTCGGTCGCGGAAGGCACACTAACGCGCCCCCTCTGCCTGCCCTCCCATTCCCACTCTCACAGTTTGGCGGACCACGCGTTCTGTCGGTCGCGACGACGCGATTTTATCATTATTTGTCATAGCGACCGGAAGCACGGGAAGCGCGGGAGGCAAGTGTGCGAAAGGCATGAGAGGTAACGGTGTTGCGGTAGTCGCACCGTAACTGTACCAACAAAGTGCACCCCCTCCCCCCCTCCGCCTCGGGCCGCCTGCCCGCGCTGGGCCCACCGGGCCGTTACTGTGTCATATTATTTTGATGCGCTGGGGTGGATCCACTGCCCCCCCCCTTTTCCCCCTACCCGATTCGAGAGCACTTTGTAATCGACCCCAGGTAATGCCACGCCGCCAGGAGAGCCACTCTACCATGCCGTGCTTAGCCGATGACCGGCGACTTTTCACTTCCATAAATCAGCAGCTTATTAATTTGCCATATCGTCGTCGGTGCGCGTCGTCTAATGAACCTTCCATCTTAAATAAGCAACTTTTGATTCGGAATGAAATGAATACGCGCAGAAAAGCATGTTCTTGACCCTTGATTTCGCAAGAACATTTTCATCAGGCCAATGCAATTTTCATTTGTACCAAATGCAATTTGCATTGAGACAAGCAAATGTTCTCGGTTTAGCCGAGCACATCTACCTCACTACCTCATTCAAGAACAGGCGTTTTTGGGTGTACAAGTTAGCTAATTAAATAATCTGTACTCTTTGAAAATGATAATTCCACCTTTGCTAGACAAAATGTCATGCACCGCATTGTGTGAGACACCCTTTGTCATGCACTTGTCTTTTTCTTGTTACATTAAGGTCATCCTTCGCGTGACATGCTGGATGTCATGTTTATGTGGCTTTTGTGATGAGTTTTTAAGTTTCGGAATAATGTCATATACCCTTTAATTTGTAGGTTAAACTGTACTTTGCGTCGTCGCCACTCTAAGTGCTTCAGAATTGTTCTCTCGCGCGACTTCGTCGTCATGCCTGGCTGAACGTGCGAAGGTGTGGACTTCTCCGCGTGTATTTAGGCGCCTCCTGGAGTGTGGCCCACATGCCTCTCCTAACAGGACAGGCCGACTGCCGTTTCCGGTAAATTGCGTGCCGAGTGCCTCCCGAGCGAGCGCGGACACGCCAGCCTTTCTTTGTCGCGTAGCGTGGAGCCGCGTGGCATGGCGTGGCCGGGACGGAGTGCGGGTCGGGCAGAGAGGGACGCCGCGAGCCACTACTACTCCTGCAGCAAACTGAACTGACCTTCCAAAACTGCTGGGCCCCCCTTGGCCTAAGAGAAGGAAGCCCCCCGTCCCGGCCGCCCTGCCCGGCGCCGCCCGGCCCGACCCGCACCGGCACAGCCGCCCCGACCACCGGTACACGCCAAAGGAAGAAAAAATATTGCCGGTCTAACGGAGCCGGCAAACCGCGCGCGCCCGGCCAATAAAGCTGAGGAGGGCCGCGGGAATAAAGTCCTGAGTGATCCGATAGCAGTGCAAATAATGTTCAACTGTCCACAGTCCCACGTGGGAATGGAAATTTGAACACTAAGTTAAGGCCTGCCATTTGGAACATTTGGTATTAGAAATGTAAAAGTCGGAAGTTCGTAAGTATTTTGGAAAGTTAATTAAAATGAAGGAGGAAAATTACGAAAAAAAACAATCTCACCTTTTTGCGAGGGGGCAATAACTCCCTTTTGATGTGTACACATGATTCCCGAAATACTTGATTCCCAGTGATTCCCGTCTGCTAATATTCATTCCTAAGGTTTTCTCGAGTTTTCTAGTGGTAGAAAACGCTTATTTCGACTAATTTGTATCAGTTCCACTAGCTTCCCGCCTAGTTTAAGCGAATCCTGTTGATTTGGATTAATTTTTATTCTGATGATTCCAAAGCAGGTGTACACATGATTCCCGGAGTTATTGCCCCCTCGCCTTTTTGCTTTTCTATTTCTATAAATTTTCGTAGAAAACACCTTTTAATATTTATTTTTATTCTTTTAAAATTTGCAATCAAACACGTGGTGTGACAGTGCAGGCTCGGTGTGCTCCGGTGATGGTTGATGATAGGAGGGTCTTTGCTGATAATCGTCTAGGTTCACTGCTCTGCTCCTATGACTCGCTGCGAAATGCTTCAACATTTTTATTTTCTCTATCCTCATTGCCGCGTCTTTGTTTTTCTTATTATTTTATTTTTTACTTTGCGAGCCGTTGAAATTTGATATCGTTTGCCGGCGTTTTTGAAGCTCCGCGCGGCAGAGCCGTCTCGCGAAGCGCGCGCGCGCGGCTCAAATTTATGGCGTCAAACTCTTCTAACTGCGTGGACCCGAGCGGAGCATTCCGCGCACCTGCAGCAGAGATTTTCGACTCTGAGCGCGCAGGAGCCACAAATAAAGAAAACAGGGTGGAGTAGCGAAACTAAAGACTCTCATTCGGCTCCAGCCGCAGGGTACTTCTCTTACGCTTGTCATTGACGACTAGGGTACGGCAGTATAACAAGCAGTTGTTTACATTGTAGTGGCACGGTCCTCTAAAGGCGAGTTTAAAAGTTGCCGCTCTTCTTCCCCCGCAGCGCCACGCGCGCGTAATAATTAAAAGAGAAACGTAACACGCGCCTTTTTCCCGCCGCGTTGTGTCCGCCAATGAAGACGCTCCCACGTTATCAAAGCCCAGGAAGAGCAGCAACAGGCGGGGCGGGGCGGAGGACCGCGTCGCGGCGGCAGCAGAATGGCTCGTATCGTCGAACGGAATTAATCCAACATAGCCATTCCTTTGCCCACTTCTCCTGTGAGAAGGAGTGAAGGGAGGTGGAGCTCAGGAGGAAGTTTAGCTGAACAGTTGCACTAGCTATAACACAATGAAGTTGTTCGGATGTTTGGTGAACTCAGAGTACTTCAGACGGGTCAATAATAAATAAGTAATTTAACAAGTAGATTTCAAGTAAACAAAGGAGGGGGAGGGACTTTTCCTTCTGGTAGAGACAGTCTTTAGGGGACTGTCTAAAAATTATTAGGCCTATGGTGCAGATGGATGGAGGTGGTGCGGACGCTTCACAGCAGAGAAAGCACGTGGTAATTTGAATATGTTGGGCTCGTTTTAAGTGTGGTTGAGCAAGGTCCTGCGGGATACGCGGGCCTAGGAGGAGCCACGCGGGGGCCGTGGGGGGTGCTCAACTGACCGTGCAGTACACACTCACTCACACACACACTCTCTTTCACACACGCACGCACGCTCAGCTGATGCCGCTCTGGGTCCGGTCCGCCCCTTCCCGTTTAGCCGCGCGTTGTGTGGCGTCAGGCGGAGGTGAGGTTGTGGAAGCCTTTTTTCACGCCCGATGAATAATTTTCGTGCCCCGTATGCGCGTGGCGCGACCACGACACTGCAACGCAACCGCCTCGGGTCAAAGCTCGTCATCCAAAACAAATTAATACAACATTTTCGCACACAAAATTTACAACAAACAAAATTACACACTACATGTTCAAAAAGACTCTACGATGTATAAACTTTTTACCGGAAAATTTACCCAGTGACTACTAGAGTTTTGTGCTGCCGTTGTATTACCAAGAAATTCCTTAGCATTTCTAAACTTTTTCCTAGCATTATAATTGCAGTACTAGAAAATCGTTTAGTAATAGTAAAGAATTTCTTGATAATATACAACAACACAAAAATTTAGTCGTTATTTAATGTGTTGCAGTGTAGCCGAGTGTAACTGGACAGAAAAAGATAAATAGAAAAACAGGCTGCTGACCAGACCTATGGGACCAGGGCCGCTTGCGTCCCGTCCATCCCTGACCTATCGGACGGGCATTGTCAGACCCTGCATGGAATGATGATATACCTCCACGTGCTCGTTACACCGTCGTGCTCTTGGCCCCGCCGTGGAAGGGCGGCTCATGGGCTCATGGCGCTCTGCGACCTCTGGGAGGCCCTCCCTCCCCGCCCCTCCCCGCCCCGCCCCGCCACTAAAGCGCCGTGAAACGGTCGCGGATGCACCGCAATGACTCGTCGCCCCGCTTTTTTTTGTTGTGTGTGAATGGAGGAAGGGCGCCTGGCTGCGGTGCGGGCCGCCACGCCACGCCCCGCCACCCGTCGCAGAAGGGTTCGTCGTCACGGCGGATGCGGTTGGGCAGGCTGTCATGGACTAGACCAACGGAAAGAGGCATCTCTCTCTCTCTCTTCCTCTCTTTCTCTCTCTCACTCGCCCCGCGAGCCGGCGACTTGCAATCAAGCGCCCAGTCGGCGCGCAGGTTCCACAAAGGCGCGACTATTGTCAAGTTCAAGTTCTGTGTAAGCCGACCGCTGCTGTTGCCTGTGCCGGTGCGGGGCCACTGGAGGTTGTAATACAGTTCCAGGTCGAGTGTTTCAGCTCATCTTTTTCTTCCAAAGGGAGGGAGGGAAGGAGGGAGGGAGGGAGGGTGGGGGCAA